ACCATTCATCTTTTGAAGGAAAATAAGAGTTTTATATTATATTTTTTTCTTTTATTCATAATGCCATGTTACGTAAACCTATTCTTATGGTGCTTGCTGCTACACTACAACAGTGTGTTCTGTGAACAATTAACAATTTATTGCGCAAAGACAGCTTTCATGTATCATAATAAAACTTGTCAAAACTCGACTCACTGTTTTTGTCCTTTTCCCTATTTGGTTTCTGGTTCAAAAAAACATTTCTGGTATTACATTTACTATGGAAGTCTATGCAACAAGGCACTGGAATAAGTTTAAACATTAAAATACAGTTTCAAAAATATAGACACGAGACCAAACCAGGTAATCTATGCACAATATGTACAAATATATACCATAAAATTACAAGCTTCACATTTCTGCAGATACACTTGCCCCATAGATTTACAAGTGCACTGTAAACCCATTTTCTGTTCTTTTTTAATTGTCCCAAATGTGGGACAGTTTAAATAGTCTGCTGAAAAGAGCTTTACTTGTTAACTTGTAATTTCCATGACAAACTATTGTATTTCCTGTCCTTAAATAATTACAAACAACAAAGGGTTTTCACAATAAAACATTTGATTCTTTATTACATTGGAACAAATAGCAAAGCAATAGATAACTAGTCTGGTTTCTAGGTTTTTGAAGACTTGCATTAGTACATGAAATGAAGATACATCTCAAATGTAATAAAGCCCACCAGCTGCACATCAGACAATACTAATTATTATTTGTGTAAGCACAACATGCACTGTTGACCAACAGCGGAAGTTATGAAAGCAATTGGGCCTCTTTTATAAAACAAAAGCAGAACGAATTTCTTCGTAAAAATGTCTGTAAAATCAAGGTTTTACAAATTATTTACACTTGTAAATGTGTTCTGCTCAAGCTTCATTACTGACGCTCAACGTTAAATGAAATTAGCTTTTATACATTAGCCGTTACATTAGTTTAGTAACTTCAAATGATACAGTTATATCTATGATCGTTATTCACTATTTTTGCAATTGCACAATATCTCAAAATGGAGTGAATGAGACACACAACACCACAATGGTTATCTGGGTGACAATTGTGCAATATGCATCATCTGTGAATACATTTAGAATTAGGCACAATGTAATCAAGCTAGTGAAAAAAAACAATCATGCCTGACTGTTCCTACAATCCTAGAGCTTCCCTTTCGGTTACCTCTTCTGTCTTGAAGATAGGGGGCGATATTCAATCACACCAACAAAAGCACCGAAATGGTACAAGTGAACAAAAGCAAGCCTGGTCATTTATTCATGAACCTTAAACTAAATTAATGCAGCAGAACGAATTTCTTCGTAAAAATGTCTGTAAAATCAAGGTTTTACAAATTATTTACACTTGTAAATGTGTTCTGCTCAAGCTTCATTACTGACGCTCAACGTTAAATGAAATTAGCTTTTATACATTAGCCGTTACATTAGTTTAGTAACTTCAAATGATACAGTTATATCTATGATCGTTATTCACTATTTTTGCAATTGCACAATATCTCAAAATGGAGTGAATGAGACACACAACACCACAATGGTTATCTGGGTGACAATTGTGCAATATGCGTCATCTGTGAATACATTTAGAATTAGGCACAATGTAATCAAGCTAGTGAAAAAAAACAATCATGCCTGACTGTTCCTACAACCCTAGAGCTTCCCTTTCGGTTACCTCTTCTGTCTTGAAGATAGGGGGCGATATTCAATCACACCAACAAAAGCACCGAAATGGTACAAGTGAACAAAAGCAAGCCTGGTCATTTATTCATGAACCTTAAACTAAATTAATGTGTAAATCTTTTGCAAAACAATTTGTGGATTGTCCGATTCATTTAAAGGGGTCATATGATGCGTTTTCAAGTTTTCCTTTCTCTTTGGAGTGTTACAAGCTGATTGTGAATAGATAAGATCCCTGAAGTTGCAAAGACTAAAGTCTCAAAACCAAAGAGATATTCTTTATCAAAGTTAATACTCTGCCACTCTCCCCTAAAATGGCGCCAATCAGAGCAGACTGCGCTTGTCGGAAGGAGGGACTTTGTTGAAAACAACGTGTTTGAGAGAGGCGGGGCATAGAGGACCTACAATAATGTACAGTATTTGAAAAATAATGTGTTTTTTGAACATTAAAGCATGTCAACATATTCTGTTACACCAAATAATGATTTTTAAAAAAGCATCATATGACCCCTTTAAATTAAAATCTTGCATTTTATGTTTCATTAACATGTTACGCCCCGTTTTCGTTCACTAAAAATTTGTGGAAAGACATTTTCAACTTTTGAAACAATTTCATTCAACCATAATGGAACAACTGTAAAACTACAACGTATTAAATGGAATATACTTTTGTCCATCACAATCTTGTTTCCATTTGTGACTACAGCCAGCCTCGCAGTACTCTACGATTTCGGCTACAGTTCTTCCATTCAAGACAATTTCGCTTAATGTATCATGTTCACATATTCTGACCAATAGCCTTTGTGACAAATCATAGATACAACATATATCATACAAACTGACAGGCAACAATCGTAAAAAACTGTAGAAATCATACAGTGGTTAGCTCAGCTTGGAATATTATGTGTAAACTGGGGGTGTGCACTACAGACAGTGCGGTGGACGTAAATTTCATCACCAGCATAGAATGTACGTAGTCTGATTTTTCTAACCGTGCATATGCTGTACACTCAACTCGCATATGCGGCTTTAATTTTTCTTGCATTAACTGGCCATCAAATGGAGTATACTTTGAAAAGCTATGTATTCGGCTATACGTAAACACTCAGCCGTCATGCCAAATTTAAGTATACTTTAAGGCCTAGGCCAGGGGTAGGCAAGTTCAGTCCTAGAGAGCCGCAGTCCTGCAGAGTTCAGCTCCAACCCTGAAAACAAAACTCACCTGCCTATAGCCTTAGTAATCCTGAAGACATTGATTAGCTTGTTCAGGTGTGTTTGATTAGGGTTGGAGCTGAACTCTACAGGACTGCGACTCTCTAGGACCGAACTTGCCTACCCCTGGCCTAGGCCTTTAACCCTGCTCTTGGACACCCACTGTCTTTCATTTCCAACCTGATTCAGCACACCTGGCCTGTGATTTTTCAAGTGATCCTGAGGACCTTGATTAGCTGGTCCAGCTGTATGTGATTAGGGTTGTAGCTAAACTTGGCAGGACAGTGGGTCTACAGCAGGGATCCTTGACTCTGAACCTTGAGATCCACTTTCCTGCAGGGATTAGCTTCAACCTGGATTAAACACACCTACCTGCAACTTTGTAGCAATTCTGAAGACCTCGATTAGCTTGTTCAGGTGTGTTTGATTAGGGTTGGAGCTAAACTCTGCAGGAAAGTGGATCTCGAGGTCCAGAGTTGAGGAACCCTGGTCTACAGGACCAAGGCTGAAGACCCATGTCTCAAGGTGTACACTTTGTGGAAGAAAAAAAAACAAACTAAAGTGTTTTCAGATCTCCTGGGCTAATGTCATGTATTTAATATCACTGAGGACCTGAAGACATGTATGATGGAAACACAGTATGGTAAGGGGTGTAACATTTCGGTGACACGCTTGAGGTACTCGGCCAATCACAATGCACTGGATAGCTGGCCAATCAGAGCACACCTCGCTTTTCAGACCGATGAGCTTTTCAGAAGGAATCGACACGTTTCAGAAAGGTGGGGGGCATAGAGGAGAAACAATAATATATAGTATGTGGAAAATAATGTTTTTTTTTTTTTTTTACTTTAAACCGCATAAACACATTGCATTACACCAAATACACAAAATAATGTTCTTTTTAGCAACATCATGTGACCCCTTTAAAATAGTCCAAGTCCGTGTGACATCAGTGGTTCAATCGTACTTTTCCGAAGCTACGAGAATAAATTGTGCACAAAGAAAAGATAACGACTTCATTCAACAATTCTTCTCTTCCGCATCACCGTACGCCACCATTCACGAGAGTACTACAATGCATGCGTGTGCATTCCTCTGATTGTAAACAAGGTGTAGCTCATGCGTCATGATACTCATATGAATGGCGGCAGACGGTGACATGGAAGAGAATAATTTTGAATAAAGTCATTTTTGTTTTCTTTGCGCACAAAAGTATAAAATTAAGGTTTAACCACTGATGTTACATGGACTATTTTAACAATGTCCTTAGTAATTTCTGGGCCTTGATCATGGTTCTGTTGCCATCTATGGATGGTCAGAAAACTTTCCAAGTCCGTGTGACATCAGTGGTTCAATCGTACTTTTCCGAAGCTACGAGAATAAATTGTGCACAAAGAAAAGATAACGACTTCATTCAACAATTCTTCTCTTCCGCATCACCGTACGCCACCATTCACGAGAGTACTACAATGCATGCGTGTACATTCCTCTGCTTGTAAACAAGGTGTAGCTTATGCGTCATGATACTCATATGAATGGCGGCAGACGGTGACATGGAAGAGAATAATTTTGAATAAAGTCTTTTTTTTTTTATTTGCGCACAAAAGTATAAAATTAAGGTTTAACCACTGATGTTACATGGACTATTTTAACAATGTCCTTAGTAATTTCTGGGCCTTGATCATGGTTCTGTTGCCGTCTATGGATGGTCAGAAAACTTTCGGATTTCATCAAAAATATTTGTCTTCTAAAGTTGATTGAAGGTCCTGCCAGGTTGGAACGACATGAGGGTGAGTAATTAATGACAGAATTTTCATTATTGGGTGAACTATCCCTTTAAAGTTAAAGAACGTTTTGATAATATGAAGAAACTTTTTCCACTATAAAGAACCTTTTGTGCAATGGAAAATTCCATGGATATTTAAGGTTCTTCATGGAACCAAAGATGACAATAAAGAACTTTATTTTTAGGAGTAACACCTCTCAGAACATTGTGTTCTACAGAAGAAAGTACGCCAAGTTCGTTTATAAAGACTTGATTCCTATATGTCAGGAAGTTTACAAAATCTACACCTTTCCAAGGAGACACTCCACCGTGGCGGTCTGCCTTACATTCCCCACGTGCACTGTGACTTGGAAACCACGGCGGAAAGTCTTGGCGTGGAACAGGAGGACTATGGCGGCCTCAAACTGCCAGCAAATTGTAGGGTTCATTTTGGGACTCACCATGACCATGCCCTAAAAACACAAACACTCAAGATCAAAGAAATCATAAAGATATATCTACATAAGGACTTTATTTAGTCTTTTCTCCTCTTGCTCTCGTTTTGAGATCAGACCTTTCGTAGTAATGAGCGATCAAAGTTCCCAAGTGCAAGTGTGGCGGCCTGTCCGGCTCTTAGCACGCGGCAGCCGGAGCGATTCCGGTGGATACTGCACACCTTCAACCTCAGGAACCGCCCATCATCGGTGGGACCCACAACCAGCCGCTCTCCTTCACGACACACACCACTGTGTGTGAATAGAAAGTCAATTATGAACTAGAAAAGGAAAGTTCATCAAGACAAACTGAACATTGATTGGCTTGAAAAAGCCTTGAAGTTTATATAGGCCTTATGAATTGGTCACATTAACCATCATTTAACAGATTTTTGCTGGTAAAATCAGGTCATTTCAAAATGGAAACTGGGAGATCAGGGATTCCATAAAAGGGTGAAAGACTTCCATGTGAAGATTTCACAAGGCATTGAAATGTGTGTGTAAATCAGATTCTACAATGCTAAAACATTGCTCTGAGTTGCTACGGTTTGATAGGTTGTTCTGAGTGGTTGCTAGGGCATTGATAAGCAGTCACTAGGGTGTTTTAGGTGGTTGTGAGAATGTTATAAGACAGTTGGAAGAGTGAGAGTATTCTAAAGTGTTGTTAGGGTGTTGCCTAGGTGTTTTGAGCGTTTTAGAGACAGCTGGAAGAGTGAATGGTTTCTAAGGCATTACTAGGGCGTTACCTAGGTGTTCGGAGCATTTGATAGACAGTTGGAAGAGTGGGTGGTTTCTAAGGAGTTGCTAGGGCATTGCCCAGGTGTTCTGAGCATTTGAGAGACATTTGGAAGAGTGGGTGGGAATTCCATGGATATTTAAGGTTCTTCATGGAACCAAAGATGACAATAAAGAACTTTATTTTTAGGAGTAACACCTCTCAGAACATTGTGTTCTACAGAAGAAAGTACGCCAAGTTCGTTTATAAAGACTTGATTCCTATATGTCAGGAAGTTTACAAAATCTACACCTTTCCAAGGAGACACTCCACCGTGGCGGTCTGCCTTACATTCCCCACGTGCACTGTGACTTGGAAACCACGGCGGAAAGTCTTGGCGTGGAACAGGAGGACTATGGCGGCCTCAAACTGCCAGCAAATTGTAGGGTTCATTTTGGGACTCACCATGACCATGCCCTAAAAACACAAACACTCAAGATCAAAGACATCATAAAGATATATCTACATAAGGACTTTATTTAGTCTTTTCTCCTCTTGGTCTCGTTTTGAGATCAGACCTTTCGTAGTAATGAGCGATCAAAGTTCCCAAGTGCAAGTGTGGCGGCCTGTCCGGCTCTTAGCACGCGGCAGCCGGAGCGATTCCTGTGGATACTGCACACCTTCAACCTCAGGAACCGCCCATCATCGGTGGGACCCACAACCAGCCGCTCTCCTTCACAACACACACCACTGTGTGTGAATAGAAAGTCAATTATGAACTAGAAAAGGAAAGTTCGTCAAGACAAACTGAACATTGATTGGCTTGAAAAAGCCTTGAAGTTTATATAGGCCTTATGAATTGGTCACATTAACCATCATTTAACAGATTTTTGCTGGTAAAATCAGGTCATTTCAAACTGGAAACTGGGAGATCAGGGATTCCATAAGAGGGTGAAGGACTTCCACATGAAGATTTCACAAGGCATTGAAATGTGTGTGTAAATCAGATTCTACAATGCTAAAACATTGCTCTGAGTTGCTACGGTTTGATAGGTTGTTCTGAGTGGTTGCTAGGGCATTGATAAGCAGTCACTAGGGTGTTTTAGGTAGTTGTGAGAATGTTATAAGACAGTTGGAAGAGTGAGAGTATTCTAAAGTGTTGTTAGGGTGTTGCCTAGGTGTTTTGAGCGTTTTAGAGACAGCTGGAAGAGTGAATGGTTTCTAAGGCATTACTAGGGCGTTACCTAGGTGTTCGGAGCATTTGAGAGACAGTTGGAAGAGTGGGTGGTTTCTAAGGAGTTGCTAGGGCATTGCCCAGGTGTTCTGAGCATTTGAGAGGCATTTGGAACAGTGGGTGGTTTCTAAGGCGTTGCTAGGGCTTTGCCTAGGTGCTCAGAGCGTTTGAGAGACAGTTGGAAGAGTGGGTGGTTTCTAAGGAGTTGCTAGGGCATTGCCCAGGTGTTCTGAGCATTTGAGAGGCATTTGGAACAGTGGGTGGTTTCTAAGGCGTTGCTAGGGCTTTGCCTAGGTGTTTTGAGCGTTTGAGAGACAGTTGGAAGAGTGGGTGGTTTCTAAGGAGTTGCTAGGGCTTTGCCTAGGTGTTTTGAGCGTTTGAGAGACAGTTGGAAGAGTGGGTGGTTTCCAAGGCATTGCTAGGGCGTTGCCCAGGTGTTCTGAGCATTTGAGAGACAATTAGAAGTGTGAGTGGTTTCTAAGGTGTTGCTAGGGCGTTGCCCAGGTGTTCTGAGTATTTGAGAGTGCATTGCTATGGGGTTTGCTAAGAAAGTTTACAAAGCTAAAGTGTTCCGAGTAGTTGCAAGTATGTTACTTTGTTGTTGCTAGAGTGATCTAGGTGGTTGCTAAGATGTTGCTAGGATGCTAAGGAATTACTAAGGTGTTCTGAATGGTTGCTAGGGTATTTATTTGTCCCTTATAAAACATGGTTTTATTATAGTGAAAGTGTAATGACCATGTTTTTTGGTGTATTGATTACCATTTGTATAACCACAGTTTTACTACAAATACCATCGTTAAACTATGTTTAGTGTAACAAAACCATAGTTAATTTTTGGTTACCATGGTATAACTATAGTAACCATGTTTTTTCTTTTCTCTTGTAGTGTGTGTGTATATATATATATATATATATATATATATAGATATATATAGATAGATACAGTATATACTTACAAGAAAAAAGAGTGGTTGCTAGTGCATTGCTAGGTGGACGATAGGCAGTTATTAGACAGATGAATAGACAAGATTGACATAACAGATGTGAACTGACCTGTACAGTGTTCCACCAACTACTGTTCCTACATCAGGAACACTGTAAATCTCATCCACCTTTAAGAACACATCAATTTGACACCAAATATCTTGGAATATTTTAGAATTAAGACAAGATATGTACGCGTTGGTAAGAGTGTGTTTGTACCTGGAACTCCGTGAGCTGCTGCATGAGCTCCTCTTGCTCCTTACTGTTGCTCAGAGGAGGAAGAATGTTGAAAAATACCTTCAGAAGGTCCAGATTCTCCCCAGACACACTGGAGAGGGTGAATATGGGCGTCACACTGTAGGGAAAGCGATGCATCATTACGCACACGCATACTGTACAAACTAGTGTTGAACAGCTATCAGCGGTAAGGTACTTTGTAGGGTATTTTTAGAGCAAGTTACATATTTAAATCTTAAAGGTACAGTACCAAAAATAGGCTGTTTAACTGTGAGGCTCAAAAATACTTCAGGTGGGAAAAAATGCAGTAAAGTGTATAATGACCCCTCTATTCTCATACACACATGTACCTGGAGGATTGTGCAAACTGCTGTGCAGCCATTTTACTTGTGTTTTTTTATGAAAATAAAACTTTGCATTGAAGAAAAGTAGATTTTTGTTTATATATGCTGTCAATTATAGCTCTTAGAAAGAAAATCGGAATCGGCAAAAAATCGGTATCAGCAGATCACACTAATGAAAAATCGGAAATCGGAATCGTCCAAGAAAATTGCAATCGGTGCATCTCTAATTAAATTGATGAAAAGTCACAGTAAAGACATTTACAATATTTCAAAAGATTTCGATTTCAAACAAATGCAGTTCTTTTGAACTTTCTATCCTAAATAGTTCTGGAAAATGTATCATGATTTCCTCAAAAATATCAAGCAGCGCACAACTGTTTTCAACATTGATAATAATAAGAAATGTTTCTTTTCACCAAATCAGCATATTAGAATTATTTCTGAAGGATCATGCATCACAGGAATAAACTACATTTGGAAATATATTCAAATAGAGAACAGTTTTTTTATTTTATTTATTGTAATATTATTTCACAATATTACAGTTTTTACTGTATTTCTAAACAAACAAATACAGCCTTGGTGAGCATAAGATACGTCTCCAAACCTTTGAACAGTGGTGTAAATATTTTAAATAGTGTAAAATACTGAATTTATTGTAAATATTTAACATATCGGCCAGCTTTAGTTCAAGTTTTTATGGCTTGCTCATTACTCTTAAATCACTTTTACAACTTATAGAGCAATATAAATATATATGCATAAATACAAACCAATGCCAGTATTGGCTCCCACCACCAGCATGGCAAAGTCTGGGCAGTAGCTTGTCAGGCCAAATATAGTGGTCTTCAAGTACTTATAATGACCAGCCAGGTCAATAAAAGTGATCATCTTAGAAGAGCTCTCACAGATCTCCTCTGCTGTACGGGAGTCACTGTAGTTTACAACCTAAAACAATGAAAAAGACCAGTATTTCTCAAAGCAACATGCTTATATGTTAGTAAGCAGGAGGTTGTTGGTTTAAATTCCTGAATATTTGTCTCACCGCTCCTTTGCTGTTAAATCCCAGGATCTCAAAACTGATGCTGGACGTCCGTCCGGTTTGAATCTCATGCAGGTGTCTGAAGAGGTTGAGCCTGGCCCTGCCCCGTCCGTTATCCAGCTCACCCTGAGTCAGCACCCCCAGCAGAGTTGACTTCCCTGAATCCACGTTACCCAGAACAGCCACACGGAGATCCAGGAACTACACACACAAACGCAGAAATCGCAGTGACAGTACTTAATACATTATTAGTTTAGTGGGTCAATGACAAATAAGGATGGCTGTGATGATAAAAAAAGAAAATCTTTTAAAAATCGATTTTGAAAAATTGCAATTTTATTACTTTACAAATGGCTGTATAACAACCATGAATAAGTAATAAATATTATATTTAGCCTAAAAAAAGGGCAAAATTATTGGATATATTTTAAGAAATTTAGAGAGTCTACTGTGGTCAATGTTATGACGATTTCATTTTTTATGACTTTCCTCTCAACGGGACAACTAAACAGCTTCCTGAGAGTTATTTATACCCACTGGTTTTTAACTGGTGGAAAAAAGTTGTTATAAATATTATGCCAAAATTATGTATATATTTGAATCAATTATTTGACAAATATTTTATATTTTAATAATCATGTACTATTTAATTTTTTAAGAAATAATAATAATAAAATTAATAAGTTATTTTATAAGAATATAAGCCTTTTAATGAGAACTTTTCCAAAAAGTCATTCTGAAATGTTCAAAAATAGGCAAACGCGATAATTATTTTAAAACTTTTAGTTTTTTTGCATTTTTAAAATGTTTTAATTTTCTATTTTGTATGTTTTAAGAAATAGAATAAACTAGGAATCATTGGAATAAAAATATATTTTATTACTAAGTTTTTTTACAAGTTTTTTTTAATCCTTTTTACAAGACCTTTTTCGTAAATACAAAAAAAATAAATAATAAAAAATTTAATAAAAATGCTAATTATATAATCATTTAAAAACGTTTTGTATGTTTTATATTTAATATTATTAAAATGTTGTACTTTTTATTTAGTATTTTTAAAATAAATAATAATAATATATATTTTATTCCAGTAATAGTTGTTCGCAAGAATGTAAGCTTTTTTAACAAAAAAATAAACAAATAATTCAAACAATTTAAAACTTATATATAATAAAAAAATATATATTCTTCATCAAAAAGTTCTCTTAACAGATCCTGTAACAAAATGTGCCATGACTGATACAATAACAAACCACAATTCAACAATAGAAATGAAATGGAAACTGACTGAAGCCTCACAAGCTCACCTGCTGGTCATCTGGAACTTTCCGCACAAGAACTTCAGCGATTTTCCGTCGCGCTCTATCGCAGTCCACCTCCCTCTCTCTCAGGAGCGTGATATCGGCTCCAACCCTGCACAGAGTCACAGAGTCTTACCAAGACAACACAACATGCCTGTAAGCCACTTCTTACACACTGACATTAAAGAATAAACTAACTGCACAATGAATTGAATACATACTTCTCAGCCATTCTGCGAAGAGTCTTAAGCGAGGCTTTCATATCTTCTTCTGTGAGTCCAACCAGCAGACCGTTATCCTCCACCCCAATCTGATACACGGCCTCCCCGCGACCCTCCTGCAGTCGCCATTTCAACTGCGTGGCCAAATGTTCGAACCGATACTGCGTGGGGTTTACCAGCTTCAGCTGAGTGAAGAAAGAGGACGAATAAGACATTAGATACATAAAAATGTCAGTAAAAAATATGGTGAACTTCAATTTTCACAGGTGTTTGCATACCTTGTATTCAATGTTTCCCTCTTCAGCCTACAAAATGAAGATATGTGGGCAAATAACAATCAATTACATAAAAATCTTAAATTAAATTAAATAAATAATCAACCTTGCACTGTATCTATCTATCGTCCGTCTATCCATCAATCTATCTATCCGTCAATCAATCAATCTATCTGTCTGTCTGTCTCAATATATAGCCTGTCAATCTAACTCTATAACAGACAGACGGATAGATAGATACTATCTATCGTCTGTCTATATATCTATCTGTCTGTCTATCTCAATATATAGCCTATCTCTCACTCTATCTGCCTATACAACCATCAGGCCATCCATCTATTTTTTTTAAAGCCGTGCTCATGCGTTTACATACAAATACCTAGCCGTAAGTATGAAGTATAATGATAGCAACGTTAGCCATTATTAGCCCACAAGAGAGCAGAGGTACACAGACAGAAAACCTTGCGTGAGAACTAGTCTAGTGTTTAAAACCAGCTCACAGAGCCTAGTTAAGTAAATATCATTATTAATATTGCTCAAACTATTGTTGTCAGCAATTGATAATTTGCTTGCAAGAAAGTTCTCAAATTAACATTTGAACTGTACAGCGCCCTCTAGCAGAAATAAAAACACGGTGGGTAAGTTGTTTATCATTGACGTCAAAGCCATAGTTCACTTAAAAATGAAAATTGCCATAATTTTTCACCTTCGTGTGTGACCCTCTTCTGTAAAAACACAAAAGGAGATGTTAAGCATAATGTTCATGCTGCACTGTTCCACACAATGAAAGTTTAGGCACAGACACTGTACAGATGTAAAAGTGCAAAAAGGCACCAACAAAAGAACATAGTCATTATAACAGTATAATAAAATGGGTTGCAATGACAGTGTCTTTAACGTGATTTTATTAAAAGCCTCTTTCAAGAAACACAAAGCAACAAACACAGTATGGCATTTAAATGACCTGTACAATTAGGCTTCTCAAATCATGCATCCATTACAATGTCATAACAACGGTTCATGATCATAATCAGCTTCATCAATGGCATTAACCTTATACATTACCAAAGAAATAACTCATATAAATCACACTTAGTTGTTTTTTTTTTGGTTCTACATTCAGCACGTATCATTCATTTCTACGGCACGGTAAAATGAATAATTCATCTTAAAATGAACAAAAAACACACCAGACACTGAAATTTGAGAATGTAACCTCCAGTATACTTTCATCCTTACCTTACAAACATAATCACTTCTTGTCTGTGCAGTGATGGTCCCTGGTGGCTACATCCTAAAAAATACAAGCCCTGATGCATGAAATGTAGGCCACATATTATCATAGTGCTAAGCTACCTCTTTAGGAGAAACCATCTTGCATTGTTTCACACCATAGTGACATATTTTTTTTTTCAAACATTAAGGATATAAAGGTAAATAAGGACTTGACTGTTTGCATGTGGAACAATTTGTGCTGTAGGCAAAGGAAAACAACATCATGGGATCAAACGGAGCAGCTAAGGCAACACATGCGTCAATATTAGATATTATTGTACAGATGCACCACACGTGGCATCCTACGTGGGGAAGCACCAAGGATATGTTCAGAACATGAATTACTTCAGACCTGGGATAAACGTATGACTATGATAAACAAGAAAGCTTTTAAAGAACTTCATGTTAGAGTAGATAAGTTCACATTAATGTTTGGAAGCCGGTAAACTAAAAAGTTATTAAAAGAATACACACACATACTAAAAATATGAAAAGATTTTAAAATTGTCAATATTTGTAAATAATTTGGGGAAACGCTTAAAGTCATAAAAAATGTTTTCATTCCTCCTTAAAGGCACAGTGATAAGAGTAATAAATGCTACATTAGAGGACGACTGTATGATTACAAGTGGAACTTAATTGTGTTCTATAATTAAATCTTATAATGAGGTTTGCCTTTGTCCTCCGGTGGAGTCTGACATTTTATCATCCTTCAGTACAACCAGGTTAGCTGCCATAAACTGTGTTAGCCTGTTTCTTCAGGCCTGATGTGGCAGGTTATAATATTGCTTGCTGGACTGCTAAAATATGCCAAAGCGAAAAGCATCCCACAACTTCTTTAATAAATTCTAAAATAAAAAAATGACACCATGCAGCAACTAAAATATTTAGCTTTCAGTAAAATGTTAAATATTAAATGACGTTCATGAAAAACTGTCGTCATGTACTCACCTTCATGCATTCTGAAACATTTTTTCAGTAAAACATAAAAGGAGTTATTCGTCAGAATGTCCAAGCTGCTCTTTTCCCTACAATGAAAGTGAATGGTGGCCAAGGCTGGCAAGCCAACTTTTTTCATCCCATTCCTCACAGGTAGCAATAGAATGGCTTTATGCATCTTGGAATACAGTGCACAAGTCATTTGTCTTTTTTAGAGATTTACAGCCTCCGGTCCCCATCCACTTTCATAGTATGGAACATTCTGGCAAACATACCACAAATCGTACAGGTTTGGAACAACATGATGGTGAGTAAATGAATGAAAATGCTAAAACAATGTACATTTTTGGATGAACTATTCTTTTAATGTTTAACTACAACTGACAGCAAGTGGTGTATCTACTAGGGATGCACAGAAACCACTTTTGTTTAAATAATGTGAATACCAATATTTCCTGATAGATAGATAGATAGATAGATAGATAGATAGAGTGGAAGGTTTAACGTACAGTACCACACTACAGATGCAGTCCTCAGCATTCACACTTGAGTCAGTTTAGAGTCTCGGCAGACAACTGGATCAGAGTTCAAGCAGAAGGAAATAATTTAACTGACAACATTCTGGCAAACATACCACAAATCGTACAGGTTTGGAACAACATGATGGTGAGTAAATGAATGAAAATGCTAAAACAATGTACATTTTTGGATGAACTATTCTTTTAATGTTTAACTACAACTGACAGCAAGTGGTGTATCTACTAGGGATGCACAGAAACCACTTTTGTTTAAATAATGTGAATACCAATATTTCCTGATAGATAGATAGATAGAGTGGAAGGTTTAACGTACAGTACCACACTACAGATGCAGTCCTCAGCATTCACACTTGAGTCAGTTTAGAGTCTCGGCAGACAACTGGATCAGAGTTCAAGCCGAAGGAAATAATTTAACTGATCTCAGGATTTTGCAGCTTGGTGCATATAAATAGTCATGTCTATGCCCGTGTGATAGGCAGCGAGCTTCACAATGACTTGGGTTCTTCATCAGCAAAGTTCTTCATTAGCACGAGAGAAGGTTGGTGAGATCAATGCATGGGTTGGATGCCTAAATGGGCGTATGACATTACTTCATAAGTTCATGGCTGAACTTCCAAAGCATCTTGTGTTCGGTATCCCAATGAAAATGGACCTCAAAAGATTAAAAATGTCTTGGTGCAACATCTCGAGTCCAAAAGAGCTGTTGAGATCAACATTTCTTGGGTGGATTCTGAGCTTTAGGTCTACTCTGGAGATATGGGAATGGTGGTCTCTACAGGACTGGAGGTGACAAGACAAGGTGCAATTACTTAGGGGAAAAAGGCTGTGGAAAGACAGGATCACTGGGGAAAAAAAGAGGGGGGAAAAAAGCATGAAGTACTACAAAACCATCATAACATGTTTAAAAATTACAGGTCAAGGAAAGCACCTCTGCCTTAAAATATTATTTCAATATATCTTAATTTCACCCAAAAAATACATTTTAATTTCATTAACGGCAGCTATTTTAGGGTGCGTGAATATCATTATGGCAAGTTCTCTTGGGGTTTAGTGGGCAGATATTTTTATTGGAGACATTTAGGGGGAACTTTCAAGAGGCAACTGTGGTGGGACAGGGTGGTTTGTCAGCTTGGCAAGGGGAGGAGGGTTCAGAACCAGCTCCCGAATGGCAGAATTCCTTGATGGTGACTGTGAGAAGGTTTGTAGTGACGTCAGTCACGACTACATTGGCAGAGCTGGGTGCCATTTCAGGGTGCCAATCGGGATCCCCCTCTTTTGGCACCCTGTTTTCCTCAGGAAGTGGGGCAGTATTGCGGTCACTAACCTGGCAGACCGAAGCTCGACCCACCTGGGTTCGATGTCGAAGTTTCCGTTTTCCGCCCTGAGAAGTGACGAGATTCGGAGAGCCCTGATTTTCGCCTTCAAGAGAGGAGGATGAATAGGAGGGTGAGGAAGGGAGGAATGGCACAGAGCTGGACTTTGGGTGAGGTTGGGAGGCATCTCGGGAACGTGATGAGGCTGCAGAGTCCAATTTAGTTGGAGCTTCAGGTTGAGTCACTTGTTTCTGAGGTGAAGGGGAGCTGTTGTTAGACCCACTGGAGCTGGATGGAGAAGGTGGAGGCTGATATTGAAACTTCTGCGCATTTGCAGAGGAATGGCTATCACAGCAGCCTCCACCTCTCCGATTGACTCCGGTGTTGGATCCTTCATTGGCCATGGAGGACATTGACCCACAGGGGTTAAGCCCGAATGGTTGGCCATACATCGGGAAGCCCAGCATCTTCATAGGATGCTGGAAAGGCCTGTAAGGCATGTCCCCATGCTTTTTCCCAATGATGCGATTCCGGGATGGGATTTGGGATTTGTCAATGACCTTCAGGTTCAAGACTATGCGCCCTCGCTTAACCTCCCGCGGTTTGACCCTGCGGTTGAGGATGCGGACAGTTTCAGAGAACGGAGAGATGGGAGGACGGGATAAGGATGTGGTTCCCATGGGGTCACCTAGGGGGTCGGGTCGTGGCAAAGGTCGCCGAGACATCCTATGACAACGATGGATGTCTTTCTTCAGTTTATGAGCAGCGGCGAGAGAGTGCACTCTGGGGGTTGGAGCAGTGTTGTAGGAAGAGGATGATGAAGGCGGAGGAGGAGCTGCACTTGCAGAAGAGGAAGAGGCGGGAGGCTTCGCAGTGGTGCGAGGTGGAGTGCGTTGGGTATTTGAGCTCCGGGGTCTATCACCCGCCTGTGCCCGTGCCTAGATAGGTGGAGAGCGAATATGACTGGGAGGTACTAAAACATCAGACTAAAAGTTTATTTATATGTTATGAAACACTCAACATGTACTAAATGTATTTAAATGTTTAAACATTTGAAAATGGATTAGATTAATTTCAAAAGAACATTTTAAGGAACTTCCAACCTTTAGTACAAAGTTTTTTGGTTTAGGTCCACGTTTCTTTGGGCCGTAAAGTTCCTGCTGCCGCTCCCTATGAATTGTAGGACAGCACCATTTAAGCCAAGGAAAATATGACATCACTTTAGCGTCAAGCCCAAACCATAACAATCCAAATGCAAGGCTTTGAAGCATAATGCAAGTCATCTTTGTTTAAAAATCCACCAGAGAGGCTAGTTTCCAGTCAAACTGGCAGCATAAAGCTGCAAAAATAAATCAAGCGAGGAAAAAAGAATAAACGTAAACAATCTTTTCCTGGCTCTTACATCGAAAACTTGAACTGTGGGCATCTATATACATACTTTATGAGGAATAAATATTTTTGTTCTCTACATTTTTCTAACTTTATATAGAAATAAAGTTTTAAGAGTTAAGTCTTTAAGTGATACTTACTTTTGCTCAAAGGCCGTGATGAGTCGATCATCCAAGATGTTCCCCTCTGGTTCCCATGTGCTGTGTCTACATTGCAAACCATTTAAAATCTTATAAATGGTAACAGGTATTTAAGAAATATCAACGTTTTTCTTTTCCCCATCAAGATTTTAGTACTATCAGTTTAAAAGGTGATATATTTATATATGCTGTATTTTTACAGTACTGCATTTTTGCAGTTCATTTAATTAGTCCCATGATGTGACAAATACAAATAAAAGCGTCAATTTTTAAAACTGTCCATATAAACTCAAATCAGTTCATCAAAACTGCAGGCATAATAACAACAAATCAAAAATGTAATTGAAAATAGTTTTAGAAATGTAGTTAGTAGTATGTCAAGTCACAACACTGCTTGACCTTTCAGCTACCCACAATGCACTTCTGCAATGATAAGGCCCGTTTCACGATGCACGCTGGAATCGGCACACACTTTCTATTCAGCAAATCAGAATGAATTCACATAATATAAACAGTTTATAGCTCTGGTTTGAGTCCATTTGTTGTCATTTACTTACTATTTGGATGGAAACTGATCCTTATGTAAATTAGATTTGACAATCAAATTTAAAATAAATTGTATAACCATTTTAGAATTCGTGGCAGTTATGCAAGGATTTATTCAAAGCAGTAACACACAAATCACTTTATTTTAGAGCTTATGGAGCTGCAGCTGTGTTACGCTTTACACACTACTTGTGCACAAACTGTGAAACAGACCTAGGTGAAACCAAATCAAGTCCCTTTCCACTCAAACTACAGAAAAAGTTAGAAAACAGTGTACGACACTGAAATAAACAGCACAATATAAAAATACACCCATTGCGATATTTATGTTTTACACACTTACTTTAGTGCCCAACCTTTCCATTTAAGCAGGTACTCGATTCGACCCTTCAAAAGAGAAAAACAGCATAAAATGTTCTTTATTTCACACGAATTAAACCATGCATGAGCAACACGTGCTATACTTCAAACCGCATGCCCTTTTATTTTATTTTTGGGGCTCAGGAAAGTGTGTTTACCCAAATATACACTAATACAGCACATCTAACACCTTAAACCATGTGGCACGACACCGTGCAGTACTGAAACTACTCGACCCTTCGTGCATTGTTGAGATCTTTGAATCTTATGTCGGCCAGCATGCATTGATTTGGGACACATTGTCCCTTTTTAGTCTCCTCCTGCTACTTTTTTAGCGGGCTGCTGTCAGTTCCCAGCACAGCACAACCCAATTTTACAACATAAATCTCAAGTTGCATATCCAAATGTCCCACATTCGACTTGTTATTTCCAATCTGACAATGCAAGTAAATGTATTGGGTCGCTAAATCGGGAAGCAACTGCAAGTAGGCCTCCCCCGCTTGTCATTGCAGGCGCCTTGAAGCTCTGCATCGCGAGACTACCGAAAAACGACCCTCTCGCTGTACTCTACATCGTGAAAAACATTCCCAAAGCCGCTAAACCCCGTTCTTCCTTACTCACTTTCCTAACGCGGCTTTTCAGGATGGCTTCCGCGGCGAATACCCGCTCTCCTACCGCCGACAGCTCCATCTTTTCGGTGTGTGCGCTCCACAGTACGAACTACACTTTTCTTCTTCTTCTTCTTCTGATGTTTATTGGCGGTTTTGGCAAACCAACTTAAAGGTGCATTACCGCCACCTATTGATCTGGAGTGTGGAGTGAACAGATTTGGTAGAGAGAAGGATATTATATATATATATATTTTTTTTTATTAATAATATTAATAAAAACATTTTTTTAAAAACCCACTATTACAATTTATATTCTTTCCATATTTCCTGTCTTTTTTAGGTAATTGAACACTTCCTCTTTCATTCTTGATTGCATTTGTCTATTCCCTAGTAATATCTTTAGTGATACTTTATCAAATCCCATCAAACCTAATTTATGATTAAGCTGATTTCTTTCTCTTTCCTATGCATCACATTCTAGAAGAATATGCTTTACGGTTTCTGGATTCCCACATTTATCACATCTTCCATTTTCATGCTTCCCTATTTTGTGTAAATTGAAATTTAAAGCTGAATGTCCAATCCTCATTCTTGTTATAATAACATCTTTCTTCCTACTCCCACATCTTATTCTCTCTTCACCTACACACCCCTGTATCTGGTAAAGATGTCTTCCTTTTATTCCACTATCCCATAACTTTTGCCATATCTTTCTTACTTCAACTGATATAATTCTCTTGATTTCAGATTTGCTAATTGCTATATTAATTTCACTATGTGAGTGCTTCAGAGCCATCTTAGCCAAGCAGTCTACTTCCTCATTTCCCTCCACCCCCGTATGAGCCGGTACCCATAGGAAGTATACCATTATCCCTGATTGTCTAATTCTAAACAAATACTGTAATACTTCATATATTAGATCTTGCCGCGCTGCAGATTTACCACTCTCTAGACTTGTTAGAACAGACATTGAATCTGTACATATTACAATATTATTTGGTTGTATTTCTTCAATCTTTTGTAGTGCTAATATAATTGCTATTAATTCTGTAGTAAAAACAGACAAATGATCTGATATTCTTTTGGCTATTTTTATTTTAAATGCAGGAATATATACTGCTGCTGCTGTCCTTCCAGATTCAGGATCCTTCGACCCATCCGTATATAAATCTGTAACTGTGAATAATATGCTTGATTTATACCCTGTTGAACTACTATATTTATAGGAATGATCTTCTCCTTTTCATTTATTTCTTTTTGTATTTGAAAGTCAATCAAAGGCACCGGAAACAACCACGGTGGAACCACTGGAATAGCTACAGAAGGATTATTTTCATATTTATTCAACCCTAATCTATCTGCCTCCTTCTTTACTGTCCAACCGAAGCTCTCTAAATCTTTATAGTCATACTCCCAACAATCTTTCAAAAGATTTTTAACTGGATGATATTCTGAGTGACCCTTTACACCAGCCCAATATCTCATCCTCAACTGTAACCTACGGAGTTCTAGGGGCATTTCTCCCATCTCTACCTGTAAAGCATTCACTGGAGATGTTCTAAAAGCTCCACTACATATACGCAGAGCCTGTGACTGTACTACTTCAACTTTTTTGAGCAGAGTTTTGTTCGCCGAACAGTATACTATACTACCATGATCTATACTAGATCTTATTACCGCACTATATATTCTTTTTAATGATTGAGAACTTGCTCCCCAATCAGCACCTGATAAACACCTTAATACATTAATTCCTCTTTTACAATTGTTTTTCAATTAATTTCTGTATATGTATTCCAAAATGTAATTTTGAATCCATCCACATACCCAGGAATCTGACGACTTTCACTTGCTCCAGCTGATGACCATACATCTTAATGTTTAATTTCGGATTCTTTTTCTTATTCGAAAAACAAATTACTTGGGTTTTCGCCACAGAAAAACGAAATCCCCATATCTTAGCTTTCCACAAATGAAATATTCCGTCCCCTTTTCCATAGTGCTCCATCGTCTGCATATAGTAATCTACCTACTCCACTCTCTATACTGTAAAAAATATAATTTATCATCAAGTTAAACAGAATAGGGAATACTTACACTCCCTTGCGGAGTTCCATTCTCTATTGAATATATTCTAGAATACATCGTTCCCACTCTAACTTGAATTGTTCTTCCAAACAAGAAATTTAAAATCCAATTGTACATTCTTCCATTAATTCCCAGACTTTCTAATTTCATTAATAACCCCTCTTTCCACACTTTCCACCTTCTCTACGTCAAAAAAGACTCCCACTAATACCTCCTTCTTAATTTGCACCTTTCTTATTCAAATATATTCAAATATATGAGTCCATAGTACTACGCCCCTTTCGAAACCCACTTTGATATGCTGAAAAAATATTCCTACTCTCAATTACAAATATCAACCTATTCATGACCATCCGTTCCATGAGCTTGCATAGGTTGGATGTCAAAGCTATAGGTCTATAATTACTAGCCTTTGAATGATCTTTTCCTGGTTTTGCAATCGGTACAATTACTCCGTGCTTCCAATCCACTGGCATAATCCCTGTTTTCCAAATCTTATTAAAAAAACTTAAAACCACACCTAAAGATTCGTCTGATAAATGTTTAATCATCTCATAACATATTTCATCTTTACCTGGGGATGTCTGCTTTTTCCCCTGCAATAGCTCTCTTCAATTCATGCATTGTGAGTCTAATATTCGTATTACTGTGTACCATTATAAATGTTTAATCATCTCATAACATATTTCATCTTTACCTGGGGATGTCTGCTTTACCCCTGCAATAGCTCTCTTCAATTCGTACATTGTGAATTCTAATTCTAATGTACTACCAGTCTCAATCTTTTTTCCAAATATGTGACTATTTTCTCTCACCTTCTCTTCCCTATACTTCCTCATACTATCCGTAATATTCGTATTACTGTGTACCATTACAAATGCTTCCGCAAGCATCTCGGCTTTATCATTGTCAGAAACTGCAATTTTATCATTATTTTCTTAAACCGGAATACTATAGTTTCTCTGTATGCCTCCCATCTTCCTGATCATAGCCCATAAATCATTAATATCAATTTCTTCCCCTATTCTATTACAGAATTCTCTCCAGTATGTTCTTTTAGCTGTCCTTACTACCCTCCTCACCATTGTTGAGCTCTCTTATAGTTAATATAATCCTTAAATTGTAAAGTTTTCCTTGCTTTCTTAATTTCTCTGTTTCTATGTGCAACTGCTTTACTACATTCTTCATTCCACCATGGTACTGATTTTCTACTACTTGTGCTTTCCTTTTTACCTATTACTTCCTCTGCTGTACTTCTTAAAATTCCACTAACTTTCTTACTTATTTCTTCAATATCTTCGTTAATTTCATTATATTCTACCATTTTATTATGACACAATTTTGTAAAAAGTTCCCAATTTGCAGTGTTGAATTTCCACCTTGGTTTGCTCTCACCTTTGTTTGATTTATTTCCACACCTAATTGACACCATATAGGATAATGATCACTTCCAATTGTACTTTGCTTTATAACCCTCCATACACTTTTACCAGCTAAGCTATTAGACACTAACGTAATATCTAAAGCTGAGTGACATCTATTGGAAACATCTAATCGAGTAATACTTCCATCATTAATACATACCAACTGACCCCAATCTAGCATTTCTTCCACTATTAACCCATTATAATCATTTTTGTTACTACCCCATAAAGTGTTATGTGCTTTGAAATCCCCACACCAAACCACTTTATTATTGTTATTTCCTCTTATATTCTCCAATTCCTTCTTAATTTCCCACAAGGATTATAAAAATTCATTATTTTAATACTATACCTCCCTTCCCAGATTTCAATCACCACCACCTCGTGATCTGCAATCTCCTCAACATTTCTGTATCCAATTCCTTGTTTTATAAATGTTGCTTCTAGGTATTTTTCAGCTGCTTTTATTATAATTTTGATTCTCTCTGTCCAGCTTTCCGTTTGTGCAGAACAATTCACCACTTCCGCCATAAACATGACAAATGCCACTTTGACTACACTTTTCTTCTTCTTCTTTAAATTTTATTGGCGGCTGGCAAACCAACTGAACGGTGTATTTACCGCCACCTACTGGACTGGAGTGTGGGCATGGCGTACACTTTTATTTTTAATTTTTTTTTATTGCATATGAACATATATAACAGTAAGAGAAATACAACTTTGCATATAAATGCCATCAGTACACAAGATTACAAGTAAAATAAAAAAATAGCCAGAGGAAGAAAGAAAACATAAAATAAATAAATAAATAAAACTAAAATAATGAAGATGGTACAGTTTACTTGTCTATTTCAAATTTGCAGATAATGTTAGAAGTCCTGAGAGCTTTTTTTGCTTTACATTTATATACCATATTACAGTATTGTTTAAATTCGTTGATAAAATTAAAAAGATTTGGTTTACCACCCGACCACTTCATTTTGTGTATACGAGACTTCCCTATTACAACCAGTAATTTAATAATATACGCTTTATCCTTTTCTATCCCATAGTCATCAACATATATCATTATATCAGACCCACCCAGTTTAACAGCTGTATTAAGTTTTCTTGTAATGAAACTCTCAACATCAACCCAAAATATCTTTGTATAGATGCAATGAAAAAAATAAATGAAAAATAGTTTATTTTCCATTACTACAAAATTCACAGGAGTAGTCAATATTCAATTTAAAGCGTTCCACTATATATTTCACCGGATAAATTCTATGCAATATTTTATATGAAACTTCCTTTACTTTGTTATTAACAAAGAATTTATCAACCATTCTCCAAGCCTTACGCCAATTAAAGGGGTCATGTGATGCTTTTTTAAAGATCATTATTTTGTGTATTTGGTGTAACAGAATATGTTGACATGCTTTAATGTTCAAAAATCACATTATTTTTCAAATACTGTACATTATTGTAGGTCCTCTATGCCCCGCCTCTCTCAAATGCTTAGTTTTCTACAAAGTCCCTCCTTCCGACAAGCGTAGTCTGCTCTGATTGGCCAGCTGACCCAGCTGAACACCGCAAGCACTCGTCGGAAATGTAACGCCCCTTACCATAATCGCAAGCTTCATCTTTCAAAATAAATGTAAAGACAGAGCCCGAAAGGAAGAAAGAAAACATAAAATAAATAAATAAAACAACTAAAATAAT